CCATTCCATTCCATTCCATTCCATTCCATTCCATTCCATTCCATTCCATTCCATTCCATTCCATTCCATTCCATTCCATTCCATTCCATTCCATTCTATTCTATTCTATTCTATTCTATTCTATTCTATTCTATTCTATTCTATTCCATTCTTTTCTATTCCATTCCATTCCATTCCATTCCATTCCATTCCATTCCATTCCATTCCATTCCATTCCATTAAAAATATCTGTTAATGCCAACATTACTTTCGAACACCGTTATGCGCTAATGAACATCGATTCTGCTCGTAACAGCAGACCCATTTTGATTCTAGAATCTACATAGACTACCTTCTGGCTTCTTTTGTTACTAATTAAACCAGTTTTAACTTCACGGCCAACAAATTATGATCCAATCAACATTGTCTTACTAATTAAAAATATTATTCTTATTCTTAAAACGACAGTACAAGGGAAATAACCCTAAAAAAGATAGCGCCTTGGTAAATATTAAGTTACTTCCCCTTATCAATTCAGTGAGCTAGGCGTTAGCCGTAAAGCAAAAATCAGAGACTTAATCAGAGACTAAATAGAGTAACTCCAATATTTCATGGACTGCTTCTCCGAATCCTGCAATAATTAAGGCCGAACAGTTAAAATAAAGAAGACTAACATTACGGCTCAAGAAGCAGCTGCACCCAACATCACGATAAACGGCAACATCTTGGATGTTGTTGACCCGTTGGCTCCACCATCACAAATAACTTTTAACTTGATCTACAACAGGACTAACAAGACATTGATAACTGACCTTTAAAATGATATAGACATTACAACAGGACTAACAAGTAATGACAAGACTTCGACAACTCACCTTTAACTTCATATATAGACACATTGAATTTGAATCTGATGTCTAATACTAATTAGATCTGACGTCGTATAATAGTTAGATCTTTAGTTACAAACATATAGGTCTTTAGATCACTAGACGAAGCTAGGAATGGAAACATGAGGAGGGGAGATAACCGGTACATTGTTAGGCTGTTTTTTATTTTATTACCCGGCCTTTAGGTATGTATGTATAGAAGTCGGTAGGCTAAACTAAGTGTTAATTATTTAATTTAATGATATTTTCCTTTGATTTCATTGCTTAAAAACTAGTCAGTAGACATGTTGTGTCTCTTGGTCTACAGTAGAGCACATGAAAGAATTAGGTGGGCAGCAAGGTATGCTACATCAGGTCCCGTAACGTACCTTCTTACCCACATAGATATAGGGCTGGTAAGTAGGTCACCAACCAGTTCTACGGCTCAATAAAACCATACATGCATGAGCCATATAACTGGTTGGTGACCTACTTACCAGCCCTATAGCGTGGTGCATTACATTTTCAACAACTCAGCTGCATATAAGTAACTTGTTCAGGATTCATTTTTTAACAATTGTAAAAAAACACCTAGTGGGCCTTGTAATATTTTTTCCTTTTCTACTCTGTGTTATTTGAATTTTTCACAACATGACTTTTGATTTAATATATGACTTTAACATGTGTGCTACTTATAGGCTTAAACAATGCCATATGATAGAATATTTTCAATCAATAGACAAAACGAAAAATAAAATTGATAAATAACTCACTTTCAAAATTTTAAAGTAAAATCTACATTTTATTAATTTTTTTGTACATATATATCATAATAAAGAAGAACAAAACAAAGAATTGTTTATATAAAACTATTTTTACTAATCTTAATACATTGACATTTTATAACAATGCTGCACTTTGTAACAGCACTTATAACTGACAAACAAAAATTTTTCATGTAAACTAAACAAAAGAAACTGACAAATTCCTTAAAAGGGAATCAATTTAATTACACAGTTAATTAGAAAACTTTTTAAATTTGATGGTTAACAGGCGTCATGGACATAGCAAAAGGATGAAATATTTGCATAATGGAACATGAGGATAAAGTTACACATTCAAAAATCAGATTGCGACCTTATAGAGAAATGTAGGAGTTATGTACAAGGTGGATCACAGGATGAAAAGTGGTGTTTATTGTTTTATTTTTTTTTTAACAAAACCAAACAAACAACACATTTGATCTCTGTGATGTAATAGTTTCTATACTACAAGATAAGGCAGTGCAGTTTGTCATACATTTATGTTGAAACAAAACAAAAAATTGGATGTGATTTACAGCAAATATGTATTTATCAGGGCATCCTGGCAACAATGAAAGAAAAAAGTAACTTCAAAATAGATAGAATATTACAGCATAGCATTTTGGATTTTAAAGAAGTTTTTAAGTAGTTATACATTTTTTTCTAGTAAAAATATAATTTGCATTTTTAACCCAAATTAAATTAAATATAAAAAACAAATAATATAGCCAGAAAAAAAACTGAAATTAAAAAGGTGAAACTATTCTTAATTTTAAGTACAATTGAATTGGTATGCTATTTAACTTTAATGTAAAATAAACAATACAGAAATAGATGTAAATAAAAGTCTAAATCTGGTTAATGGTTTCTTTCTAATGTCACAGAAAACAGAAAGAAAAAATATGTAAAAAAAAAAACCAAGACATGAACTAAACACAGACTAATAAATAAAAATAAATTACTAATTTTAAGTACAATTATAAACAAATATGCACGAGCAACCATAGCAACCACAAACTTTAAACTTGTGAGTGCCATTTCTGTTTATCAAAATTTTTGTACATTCATCTTTTCATGGAGATTAAAACTGTAAAAACAATGTTTCACAAATCTTTCACAAAATTAGTTTTCTATTACACCTGCTTTAAGCTTAATTCTTATTGTACCACTCTCAAGCGTTAAGTAAGCTATCCGTAACTATTGGCCTAATTGGAAATACAACAAAGAATATTTTGTTAAAAAAAGAAAACATCGTACATATTAAATTGACCAACATTATAAATTTGTGCTAAAGAACAGACTGCAATTTTAGCTATACAATATTATACATGTATGTCAAAATGAATTCAAATAACAAAGTAATGTACTTTCAAATGATAATAATTAATGATTACTATATGTTTGAGGATACTAAGGCATTTAGTAATATGAATGTCAGGTAAAACAAAATAGAATACTGTAATTCTAGCTCATGTTAGGAATGATACAGATCTCTTAAACTCCATTTAAAGATTAAAAATTAGAACTATTTATACAGTTGCAAAAATGTTAACAATTCAAATCCTGATGCAAAATTTAAAAATATTTTACTTTCCGAAACTGTTAAATTTTGAAAGTAAAAACATAACGGTTATACTCCAAGGTGTTGTGTTTGAGGAAGAAAATAAAATGTAAGAGATTAAATTAAAAATGAATACTTTGTATGGCCACTAAATTTGGAATTAAAAAGAGAAGGAAAGACAATTATACTGGTTTAAAAAAAGACAAAAGAAAGATGAAATAAACACAGAAACAAATGTTTCGATTCCAAAAATTTTGAACACGTCTGAATAATTTTAATCCTAAATTTAATTTGTACATTACAATCATAAACAATATTTGTAGAAGTGGAGGGAGAAAATTCTAAATTCTGCAAAAAATATTTTTGATCTGATAGTAGTAACACATTTCTTCAGTGGAAAACTAGAGGGTACAGTTTGAGGAAAGGGGAGGTCATAGTGGATTTATAACCACATGATTAGATACCTTGTTTAACCTTTAAATGACCAGCATTTTTTATTTAATACAGGTTTTTTTACAACTTAAACATAAAACTGATAATGGTTAATTTAATGTTTAGTAAATATTTTAGCAGGATTTTAAAAACAACAGTGATGTCCCCTTCCCCCCAGATTTTTTTTAAAGTAGCTGTCTCCTAGGTTACCTCTCAAGTTAACCAATCACACTGTTAGTAAAGTCATCACAAGTAATCATCTGTCTCACTGAAACAGACTCGTTATGTGGTACTCCTTACAAATGAGCCCATTACTTGTTACAATTTAAAGATTTTTAATGCCAAAAAAATTAAAATAAAATAACAAAAAACAGCGGACATCATTAACATAAAAGAAACAAAAAAAAAATAACATGAGTATCACTGCAGGAGGAATAGCTACTGAAAACCTGGTCTGTCAGGCAGGATCTGACAGCAGGTAAACAGCTGTCCTGAAACAGCAGGTAAACAGCTGTTCTGAAACAGCAGGTAAGACACCTGACAAGAAGGCCACCTGCATACCTGATAGAAGAATCAGGTAACACATGCTCACAAAACTAAAACAAGTTTCTTCGATGAAAAAGTTTCTATTGAGGGAGTTTCCCCGTCAAAGAATAATTTTCCATTGGGGAAAAATTTCCTTTGAGAAGCAAATTTAACAAGTTATCAATAAGAAACAAATTTCCATCGAAGGATAAGTTTTCATTGAAGGAGTTTTCACCAAAGGACAGGTTTCCTTTGAACGAAAAAGTTTCCTTTCACTGCAACTTACCAACAAAGTAAACAAAAATCTTTAAAAAATATTATATTAAGCTTTTGAGACAAATATTTGTATACTGTTTTCTCATCTATTCTACACATTATAAAGTTCAACAACTTATCAGATCCACTAGTATTGGAGGGAGAAACAGGTTGGGGGAATAACTGTGTAATGAACCATCAAAATAATATTTAATAAGTGATTTTAGACACGTTAATGTAACCACTTTTAAATTATCACCCTTTGTAAACTATCATACTTTGTGATACTTAACTTTGTGACAAAGACTAGCCCTTACAACGAAAAACTTTCAAATAGATATTTTAATATTTTAACTGTGGGTTTTCCTCGGCTGGTATACATTTTGACATGAAAATAAGAATGCATGCAAGACAATATTTGATGATCTTAAGTAGTAGGGAGGTTGTTCTTCTTTTAAGCAACATGCAATTTGGTCCTTTTATTAAAAAATATTTACAACATTCAATATATATATTGCAGATGATTTTTTTTATACAAATTTGGAAAAAAAAAATTAGTATGCAGGTAGGAAAAAAATTACCTCTATGATTGAAAGAAGAAAAAACAAATCATTTCAATGATGAAGTAAGCTTTAACTTAACATTTTTTTTTTACCTTTATGTATTTAACATATGAAGGAATATAAAATAACGTATACCTTGTGTTGATAGATACCACTGTAAATACTTCTTTAGCTTGTATTAATTCAAGTTGTGAAACGCAATGAATGAAAACTATCAATATACACATTGTGTCACTAACACAGATTTGTTGCAGTCATAATTGTTAGCCTCAGATGCAGCACTTTTAGTTCAGTTAATACAACCACAGGCAAATCCATGACACCTTGAAACAAAAACGAAACACTTAAAAGGTGTGATGGAAACAATTCTCCAGGTCTACTAAACATAGAAATGTCCCGTTACTGGGCTGGTGATGCCCTCAGACCAGTCCGAATGAGCAGAGTGGGGCGATGAGCTTGACCAGTGTCCAGGGGAGTCTGGTGACGGTGTTAGAAGATGGTCCGGTCGGAATGAGCTTAGATTGTGCTGGTGTGGAGGGGAGTCTGTGATGTGCTGGCTGTTGTGGGAAGGTGGGGTGGGGTACTGTTCAAAAGTCAGAGCGTACCCTGCCGTCTGCTGGGGGACCTGCTGGAGCGTCTGCTGCTGTAGCTGTTGGTGGGCCATCTTGTGCTGCTGGAGACCTGTGGAGAATACAGTCTGTTGCGCAGGCTGCTGTTTAATCCCATCTGGGTGGAATGACGTGGGGTAGTCCGCCCTGTGGTGGGGGCTCACGTGCGAGGCCCTCTGCTGGGCATGCTGCTGCATCGCCTGCATGTGCGTCGGAGACATGGGTAGATTTTTAGACGACTTGCTAGACTTGACTGTTGGTCTCGGTAAGTGACCGACTGACCCAATGACCTCAGCATTCTTGCCAACAACGGCCCCGTTTTGTAGGCCGGGGGAGTTGCCGCCGCCAGACGAGCTTAGATGCCCGTTCTGTATGGTAGTGCCACAGGTGTTTTGCTGCATGTGTTGCTGTGGCATCTGCTGCTTGTATGGAGGCAGGTTCCAGTTATTGATTAGAGAGTCCAAGACGCCTTGGTCTAGTAGATTCTGGGAGTTGTAGTGGCCAGCCATTGCCTGGAAGTCATCCATAGCATGCCTGCCAATGTCACTAGGCAACACTAGGGTGGAGTGGTCGTACGGAGACGTCTCGTACCCAGGGGGGGAGAGGTGCGACTCCAATGAAACACTGGCGGGGGAGATAGTACTCATGGGGGATGATTCGCTATTGGACTGATGCCTCGCCTGTGTTTGGATTGATGATGGGGATGACGATGAAGAAAGCTGCTGCTGCTGGTTCTTTTTATTTGCTGCGCTCTCCCCATCACCCTTTTTCTTCCTTGGCTTGGGGGTTTTCCCATTTGTGATGGGCACCCCGACTCCCCCGCTGGGCGGGGAGATTGAGTTGGGGTATTTGACTGCTGTGTTTTTCTTCCTGCTTTTGGATTTAGTTTGTTTGGTTGGGTGGATGTAGCCCCCACCTGGGTGGTTGTTGGGGGAGGTCATGCCCCCCTGCATGTGGTTGATGGCGTTAGGGCCAAGTTTGTAGTTGTCCAGCAGCTCTACGATGTCCATGTGACGACGCTCTAGGGCAATGTCTCGAGGTAGCCTGTCCATGTGGTCTGTCATGTCGCGGTTGGCGAAATGGTCCAACAGGACTTTGACGGTCTCATGCCCTCCCTCTCTTGATGCCAGAAATAGTGGGGTTTCCTCCTAAAGTACACATGTAATGAAATAGTAATTAATGGAATTAAATTATACCTTCTAAATCAAATTGAAAATTAAAATAAATGTAAATTGATGAAAATTTAAAGTCGTCAATTAATGAAAACTAAATCATACCCTACTAAATTAAGCTAAAAATTAAAGCAAGTGTAAATCGATAAAAATTTTTGATAACAATTAATGAAAATTGAATAATCTTACTAAATTAAACTAAAAATTCATCAAACGTTAATTGATAGATATTTTAATTTATAATTAAAGAAAATTAAATCATACCCAACTATATTAAAAATTTAGGAACTAAAACAAATGGAAATTTATTTTAAAAAAAATGTAAATAATAACTAATGAAAATCAAATCATACCCTATTAAATTTAACTAAAATAAATGTAAAATGATACAAAAAAAAAAAAAACAAGAAACAAACCTTGGCATCCTGAACATCCCTATTGGCATTATTCTTCAGTAAAATCATGACAGCATCAACATTGTTGACAGCTGCTGCCCAGTGTAGTGCAGTACGACCTAAAGAAGAACATTATTGCAATGATTAGTCACTGATAAAAGAAGAGGTTATTTTATTGTTGTACTGACATCATCTTTTCCTGTTCCTGTTCAAGACACAGGGGGCAGGTGTAGTAGAGTTCAATTTTCTCGGCATACAAGGGGATAATGTGGTCAGCACCATGTCCAACCACTTTAGTTACCCTTAAGGTACTCATCAAAGCTGGGTGTACGCAGGGCCCAACCTCGAATCTTTCGGTTTACCAATTTAGCGCTCTACCGCTCAGCCACACCGCCCCTTATTGTACCAACAAGGTGGAAGGAAAAAAAAAGTTTAGATTTTGTGGGTTTATACCTTGATTGTCCACAGCCTCAATATCAGCATCTGCTGCAATTAATTCCTCTACTGTGTCTTCTATGGCTAATCTACAAGCAAGGATCAGAGGGGTTGTTCCGCACTGCATGCGAGCATTTAAATTGGTCGATCTATTTCTTAGTAGAATCTGAAATATTCCAAAACAATTTTTTTTATAAACCAATACAGGTGCACTTAAAAGTGTAATTTCAATTTAGTTAACTCTACATAAAAAGACAAGACACTTTAAATTTTGTGAAGCTATAAAAAGTATGGATGCCTTGAATGTTTCCTTTTTAAAAAAATTTGTGAAGAAAAATAAAAACATAACAAAACAAAAATAATAGACCAGTAATATAGAAATACTGATGATAATGTATTCACCTGGAAAACACCTTGAGCATCAGCAGCAACCGCCGTGTGAAGGGGTGTTCTACCTGTGTTGTCTTCTGCATTAGGGTCAGCTCCAGCATCCAGGAGGACTTTAGCCGCATCAGCTCTGGCATAACGTGCTGCCAGGTGAAGTGAAGTCTCACCTGAAAGACAACCATGTTTGAATAACTCACAGCTGCTTGAAACTGAATGTATCTCGATGAAAATACTGCTGTTAAAATATTGGGCAATAACTCTTTGATGCTTAAAAAGTATATATTTTACAACAAAAATAATGAGGTTAATAATGTAGCAAAGATTAACATATACATAAAAGTGAATGTGTCACAATAAAAAAAAATACTGAGGTTAATTCAATACACGTGGTTAAAAAATAAAAAAATAGTTTACCTGTTCGGTCTGTTTGGGCATTAATAGCCGCCCCTTGGAGGAGAAGACTGGAAATGACATCAACAGAGGTGTTGTTGTCGCTGTCTCCACCTTCAGTGGACACTGAGCCGGAGTTGCTTTCATCATCGTCACCTAGTCCTCCACCTCGTATAGAGGCCAACATGAGAGGTGTGTAGCCATCTGTGCAAATATAAACAAATTTTGTTGAGTATTACTTTTCAAATTTAGATTCCGTACTGTACTTAAATATAAACAAACTACTACAGTATAAATGAAAACGTTTTTTTTTGTTGAGTATACTTTAGATGCTTGACTAAAGTATAAAAAAAATATACTATATCTAACAAATGGTAACAAAGGATGTATTTTGTAGAGTTTTTACTTAAATTACAATATCTGGATTTAAATAACAAGACAGGTTTCTTACCTGGGCCTCTGACATTGACATCTGGTTGGGGAGGTTCTTCTCCTTGAGGTGGGGTCAAGGTCAGGGCAAAGCGAGAAACATTGGCAGCATCCAGGTGTTTCACTGTCCATTGACGTGTGTCTGAAGTGACTCCATATTCAATCTAAAAAATAAATTTTTGAAATTTATGTTTTAATGTGTTCATTAAATGTTTTGGAAGCTGGATTCAGAGAATGAGGGTTCAGAGTTTAGAGGTTAAGTTTTGGGATACATAGACAGTGAGTCCTTACCCTTGGTCTCTTAACCTGTGGTCGATCATCATCAATATCATCAGTCCAGTACTCAATGCTTGGGGGTGGGGAGGTGTGGTTGTCATTGGCATCAATTTTATCTTTATCAAGTTTATCACTGAAACAAGAAATCAAATATTAGAACAATGAGTATAATCTACTTAAAATTATCTTAAACCTTGTTATATTCAAATCTGATTTTTTTTCTAGAGTTTTCATTATATGTTAATATTAATTCTTTATTTTGCACTAATTAAAAATTAAGAACTAAATCTAAACTAGGAAACAGATATTTAGAAAATACTGATAAAAAATGTAATAAAATCCACGGAGAACTTACTGCATCTCTTCCCCATCTGGACCTTTCCTGTTGCGTCCAGGCTTGACATCTGTGGTGTGGAACCCATGAGGAAACCAAGTGGTTCCACGAACTATACGCTTCCTTTTGACCACACCAAAAATGATAATGACGAGAACTGCGACTCCAACAGCAACCAAAACGATGGCAATTATAATGTTTGTATTTGAGCTACCATCCACTTGTTGGTCAGTTTGAGCTGAAATAAAAAGTACATTTTATGCAGAACTGAACTTTTTTTATGCAGATCTGAACTTTTTTTATGCAGAACTGAACTTTTTTCATGCAGTAGGAGACAAGGATATATTATAATTTATACTGAGACAAAAACTTTTTTTATGCAGAACTGAACTTTTTTTATGCAGAACTGAACTTTTTTTTATGCAGAGGAGAAAAGGATATATTATAATTTATACTAAGACAAAATTATTTAAAAGTTTAAAAGGTCAACTCACTGCCAATCTGCTGAATAGCTACACCCATGTCTACGCAGCATCGTACATTCTCTGCTATGAACTGAGCAATGATCTCGGTGCTGTTGAAGCATCCCATGTTTTCAAACTTGGTGCAAGCTCTGTTGTCTATTTCCAGGAATATCTTTGTGCTGATAGAAAAAAGGAATGCATTATGAGAAACCCTAATGTCATAAAAATGAACAAACACAATGTTGTCACATACAAAAAAATTCAAGAAAAAATGTAATACTTATTTTTATTTTTTTTTTTTATTTCTCCTAAAAAATTTTTTTATATCTTACCCAGTTATTACTGATCTTTTATTTCTGAAGCCATTAAAGTCCAGAACAGAGGATGTCCATCTTTTACGTCTTTGATTTTGGACTTCAGGCATTTCTTCAGACCAGGGAAAAATCATTTCCACACCTGAGCTGCTCTTTTTTATTTTGACCATGGCACGCAAGAGGAGGCTGAGTTTGAGTAGGAAGTCCTGCTTGATATCAGAGAACTCTTCAGGTTTGATGAGCACAATGATGTACAACGTACCATGGACAAGCTGCTCAACACCTGCAAACAGAAAAAGTTTTTTTTCAAACTGAATAATTTAAATCAAGTTTTTTAATTTCAAAAAGTAGTACTCAATAATAATAACATCTGAAAAGAAAACGTTTTTGAACAATAAACATGAGTTCTGGTTATTAGTAAGACCATGACCAACCTTTGTCACAGTCAAGACCATCCCAGTTGCATTCTTCAGTATTGCAGCCTTCATCACAGATGTTGTTCTTGTACCTCTCCTTACAATATTTCTCATGCAGGCATCCTGCAATTGGCTTGCAGTCAAACCCATCATACAAGCACTGCTCGTTAGCGCATTCAGGATCACAGTTACCATTCTTGAACACCTGGGAAAAAAATTAAGTGTGTAAATAAAAATAAAAATTTACTAACTCCTGGAAAAATATTAGTGTGTGAATAACTAATTATTAAACAAATTATTAGAAATTTATTTCTTAAAATTTTATTTTAAAAAATAAGAGAGGATTTCACTGAAAATTAAAAACAACTTACTTGATAACAATATCTGCCGCTTGCTGTTTTCTGAGTACAGTTTTCAAATGGCTTAGTGCCGTAAGAGCATTCAGTGTTGTCGTAACCACAGTCAAAAGTGTTACATTCAAGCTGGAAAAAAAATGGAATTATTTTTTTAAGAATTCACTTCATCTACAAAAGTTCTCAAAAATAAAAAGAAATCAATTTTAACTAGCAAAAGGAACAGTTTATATGTAAATGCTCAACTGAATTAGTTTGCTTACATCACAAACTCCATTGTTTGCCTTGTCTTTGCAGTTGTTGTCAACACAAATTTTGGATAAAGTGTCCATGGGAGGGGCAGTAGTCCCAACACCACCAGGGAAGTTCTGATCATACTTATCACACTTGAGGCCATTCCATGTTCGGGGGCAATAACATTCATACCCATCTGTATGGTTGTAAAAAAATATTAAAATGAGGCTTATTTTTGACACAATGATAGTCAAATTAAATTATTTGCTTGAAAACTTTATTCAAATACGAATTTCATTAAAAAAATGTATAACCGATGGTATCTTGACAAATTACTCTATTTCTAAAGATTTGTATATAATTAAAAAATTATTTAAGAATTGAAATTGAAAATATCTAACTGATAATATCTTTTTACAAGTGCCCCTATTTCTACAAGGCTTGTATATAATTAGAAAATGAATCAAGAATTTTATTAAAAAATATCTAACCGATATTATCCTGACAAGTGCCTCCGTTTCTACAAGGCTTAGCCTGGCAGGCATCATAATTGTCTTTCTCACAGTTGACTCCCATGGTGCCAGTCTGACAAGTGCACGTGTAACCAGAGGCTGTAACAGCACACTTGCCGTTGTTCTTGCATGGATTTGGATCACAGTCTGATGGCTTGATTTGACAGAACTCTCCAGAATAACCCTTCAATTAGAAGAAAAGTTTGTTCAAATCAAATGTTACACTAAGAAAGTGTCTGTTTCAAAAAGAATTTTTTAAAAATAACTATTATTGAAAGTTAAGTAATAATTTTAATAGTGTTACATTTATTATTATGACATTTTGGCAAGTTAAAAACATTTGTTTCTTACCCCTTTGCAGGTGCAAATAGCCCCAAAGTTGGAATCCCTGCAAATCCCTCCATTTTCACAAGGGCTTTTGTCACACATTACTCTCATGTTGCATGTACGACCTGTTAAAACACACAACAGTTTTAAAATTACATTTTTCAACAAGTACAATTTTCTACGTAAACATTCAAACACAAGCTTTATAAATACTCTTCTCAGTCACACAAAAATAATGGGATGTTAATGTAGTTAAAAATAGGTTAAAAGTTAAATTTTTTTTTTACCTATCCAGCCTGCTTTGCAGTCACACCTGTAGCTGTTGTTGAGTTGGATGCAGTCTTGGGTCCCATACGGGTCACACGGGTTGGACAGGCATTCATTGACATCTCCCTCACAGCGATTTCCCACAAATCCGGGTGGACACACACACTCATAGCCACCAACCTAAACAGGAATTACCGATTAAACTTCTTAACCAAATGGTATTACATTATTTTAATTAATTGTAGATTAATTAGGCAAACATAATTATACACAGCATTCAAGCTTTTATTTTAAAAATTACTTCACTATAAATTAAACATCATGAAAATTTCGACAATAGAAGCAACAAACCTTATCAACACATGTCCCTCCGTTATGGCATAATCCTATCACACAGTCATTGTCATTAACTTCACACAGGTACCCTGCAGTTCCTGGTGGGCAGGAGCATTGGAAGTTGTTGATAAGATCATGACAGATGCCACCATTGGAACAAGGCTGGTTGGCGCAGTCGTCCACATTCAGTTCACAGTTTTGGCCCTAGAGGGATAGCAAAATACACATTGTTACCAAAAGTGTAGGTTATACTTCAAAATTTGGTTTTTAAAGTGGTATGAAAGACAATAATGTAGAGTATTAAACGATAAAGGGGTAAAAATTTGAGGGTAGAGTTAAATATATAGAAAAATATTTCAAGAACAATTTTAAGGGATAATATAAAATAGCTGTGACTACAATAGCACTGTGTTGAAGTAAAAAATTTAGTTGCCTATTGCAGAAAGTTTTTTAACTGTGCAATAGCAGTGTTATAATTAAAAAAAAAATGTCTATTGCAAAAAAAAAAATATGTCTTTACTGACCTGGAAACCTCTCTCGCACTGGCAGGAATATTTGCCAATCTGGTCAGTGCATGTGGCACCGTTCTGACATGGGGCTGACAGACACTCGTTGGTGTCAGTCTCACAGTAGGACCCCTCGTATCCCTTCCTGCATGTGCAGGTGTGTGAGTTGGAGGTGTTGCTGCAAGTGCCACCATTTTGGCAGAGATCTGACACCTTCACACCTGTTGATATACAAGTATTCTATATTTATTTGCAATATATAAAGAAAGATAAAATAAAGTATTACTACAATATAAAATGCAGATACAGAAAACTATTGTAACATATACTCTGATTTAGGTTTTTATTTCATTTAGGTATTTTTTTGTTGAATAGACAAAATACTCGTTCGATCTAAAAGTCTAATTCAGGCCTAATACTTGCTTAAATACAATAAGTAAAAAATAAATTGCATTGTAACAGAATAGTACCCTAAATTATAATTAAGCTATACTTTTAATGCAAAAAACAAAACAAAACAACGTGTACATAATGAAGTTTTAATTTTCTGACCTTTAATTTTGGCTGCGGTCTCACAGTTGACAAACTGGACGTCACACAGCTTGCCCGTCCATCCTGCACGGCAATCACACTGGAAGTTGTTGGCATACTGATTGCAGGTACCGTTGTTCTGACAGGGCGTTTGGCTGCACCAGTCAGTGAAGCTCTACAAAAACAAAAATTAATTTAAAATTTTAATCCGGCAGAAATTATTATTATTTGAAAAATGCTATTGAGATTTATTATTTTAAAAACAAAAACCCACAAAAAACCCCCTAAAATACTGACCTCACACCTAGCACCTGTGAACCCATAAGGACAAACACAGTGGTAGCTGCTCCCTTGGTTAAAACACGAGGCCCCGTTGATACATGGGTTGGAGTCGCAAGGGTTGATGTGGTTCTGGCAATTGCTGCCGGTGTATCCAGGAGCACATAAACAATTGTAGCCACTGACTAAATCAATGCATGTACCCTGATTCAAACATGAGCTGGAAAAAAAAAAATTTTTGTAATGATATCTAATTTTTTTATTGTTTTTCCTAAATTTCTTTTTAAAATTTCATTTAGACAACTGAATTTATTTAAAAAAAATAAATTTAAGTTTAATTATTTTTTATATTCCATACCCTAATATAGTAAGTTGAATTAATTACCTTCTTGTACAATCATTGTCATTAATTTGGCAGTGGACTCCACTGAAACCTGGCTTACAGGTGCAAGTATAAGAGTCCACATAATCTCTGCATGTGCCATTGTTGACGCATGGGTTAGAGGCGCACTCATCAATGTCATTCTGGCAGTGCTTGCCACCAAAACCACTGACACAGTTACATGTGTAGGTATTCACTCCATCTAGACATGTGCCTCCGTTGAAGCAAGGATCTGAGGAACAAATAAAAAATGTGCAAAAAAGGTTATATTTTTTTATAAATGAATATGAATTCAGGTAAAATTATTTAAAAAAAACTTGTGATTTTAAACTCCAATAGAAAAAAAAAGATGTTAAAATTTAATTTATGAAAGGCTTTAGGTAAATTTAGACTCATTACTTGGTTCACAGTCATCATGGTTGATTTCACACTGGCGTCCCTCATAGCCAGGCGCACAGGAACAGCTGTAGGAGCCTAGAGTGTTGCCACAAGTTCCACCATTGCGGCATGGGTTGGAGTGAGAACATTCATCAATATCCTGTTGACACAAGTTTCCTGAAAAAAGGGGGTATTTTATAACGCTATGAAAAAGAAGTTTAAAATGGAAAAATAAAATTTCTGAATAAAAAAAAAACATGAATAATTTAATAGAGAATAAATCTCAAAGAAATGCAGAAAAAAAAAAAACAAATTAGAATTTATCAATAATAAATTTTTGTTTTTCAATTAAAATTTTTGTTTGAATTTGATACAGATTAGTCTACTGACCTGTATATCCATTGGGGCATATGCACTTATACAATGACTGAAAGCTGTTCTGGGGCATACACTGGGCATTGTTCTGGCATGGGTTACTGCTACATGGGTCCATCTTGAGCTCACAGTTTCTCCCAGAGTAGGGGGCATTGCAGTGGCACTGGTAGTCATTGACCAGATCAATGCAGTAGCCATTCTGGCATGGGTTGCTGGCACACTCGTTGATGTTGGTCTCACAGTTCTTGCCTGTTGGCAGAACAATTTTTTAATTAGTCTAATGTAGCTCTGGGTTGCTATTTTAGTAAACTTTACTGTGATATTCATCTGACTTAGTAATTTGTGAAAACATTGATCCATTTTGAGGAAAAAATGGAAAATATGCAGAGGAAAAAAAATTGAATAACTAAAACTGTAGGAATATAATTTTAAAAATTTAAAAGATTGAAAAAAAAACTTATGGCAAATTTTAAAATTAGAGAAAGGTATAGTAAATTAAAAAAAAATATCTATGCACTAATATAAAAAAAATGCTAGTACAACTATTTTTAACTAATTAAACTATATCCTGGAATAAAGGTGGAGTACCTGTGAAGCCTTCTTTACATGTGCATGTGTAATAGTTGAGGAAATCCTGGCAGATGCCTTCATGCTGACATGGGTTTGACAGGCACTCATTTATCTGGTTCTGGCACCGATTGCCAGTGTAGCCTTGGGGACACTCACAATCAAACCTGCAGATACAAAATTATTTTTAAAAAACCTACAGATACAAAATTACTTTTAATAGATTTTATTTTACCACCAAACCTATAGGTACAAAATTATTTTTAATGGTTTTTTCACCACCAAACCTACAGATACAAAATTATTTTAAATAGTTTTTATGTCACCACTAAAACATAACATCATGTTATTTTCATACAATTATAACATTCTTCCACAACTAAAAATATAAAAATGTAAATAAAATACATATAAGTAATTATTTTTAAATATATTTTTCAATCAAACATACTGTTTAATATAAATTGAAATAAATTTTGACCTGTTGAAGCCATTGATACATCGGCCTCCGTTTGTGCAAGGATTAGATTCACAGGAATTTGTAGTTGAGACGCAGATTTTGTCCTTATATCCAGGTGGGCAGGTGCATTTAAAATCATTTTCAAGGTCTGTGCAAACACCACCATTTTGACAAGGATTTGATTTACAGTCGTCAATGTCAATACTACATATAGGACCTGGGAGACAAAAATTCACAAACATTAAATATGAAATTAAGTTTGGTTGAATATTTTGATAAAGAAATATATATTTCTATGAAAGTGACCAGGTGAAAGCCTTTGCATACCTGTGAATCCTGCCTTACAGAGGCAACTAAAACTATCAATGCCATCCTGGCATGAGGCTCCGTTTCTGCAGGGATTTGAGGCACAGTCGTCGAAATTGATGCTGCAGTCATGACCTAGGTCATCGCAAGTAAAAATACAAGTTATATTAAAAACAAAATCAAAACAGATGTATAGAGGCCTATTCACAAAATTCTTTGTATTTCTTACATTTCAATGTTCCATAAAGCAATTTAAAATAATGAAAAATATTAAAGTAAGATAGTTTAAAAACTTTAATTGTCTTTTGAAATATAATAAAAACCATTTTCATCACACCAAAATACTTCCAAGTCACATTTAGAGGTATTTAAGTTTTTGAAGCTTCTAACATATCAGAAATAATAAATACTTTATTTAGACTCTTCAAGATTACTCACAACATGCATAAATGACTTCTAAAATGTGGAGTGACAGTGACAACGTAGGTAACACTTAGCAAAAATTACCTGAGGTTCCCAAAAGACACCTGCATTCGTATCCATTTTCCAGGTCCATGCAGGTGCCGCCATACTTGCAGGGATTGGATGCGCACTCATTGATGGCCACATCACAGAGGCCACCTGTGTAGCCAGGTTTACACACACAGGTGTATGTGTCCAAGCCATCAACACAGTCACCATGGCGACAGTTGACACCTTCACAGTCATTCTTGTTTACAGTGCAGTTGATACCACTGTAGCCTGTAACAAACCAAACAGTTGTTAAATAAAAAATTTTTCGCAACAATTTCTAAGCTAAAATCTATTTTCAGAATTTATGTTGAAAATACTTTAAAATATTTGTAAAAATAATTATTTTTTTTAAATGAACACAGAAAGATAAATTTTTAAATACTCTAATTTAATTATAGGTAATTAAACTAATTTGGTAAAGAAAAAGAGATTTACCTATCTTGCACATACACTTGTAGCTGTTGATGCTGTCAACACATGTGCCACCATTACGACAAGGAGAGCTGTCACATTCATTGATGTCTACCTCACAACGTGGTCCTTCAAAACCTGAGATAACATAAGCAGTATTTTATGTAGGTATGCAAGTTCAGGTTTTAAAACTATGAGGTTTTTCTGGTAGTATAGGAAGGAGCATACTAGAAATTCCCAATTCAAAATGTTCTGATGTTGAGAAACAAAACGTGCAAATAGATTTTACAAAATTAAATATATACAGATTTATTTAAATACAAAATGCGTGAATAGACTTTACTAATTCAAGTTGTTCTAATTTGTTAAAAAACAAATTCTGCTAATAGATTATTCAAATTCAAGATTAACTAATAATGTAAAAAACAAAATATGTAAATAGACATTTTACCCAGGATTAAAAAAATGTATGAATAGACTTGCCCACTTCAAGATGTTCTAATCAAGATTAAAACAAAAATGTGTGAATAGACTAACCTGCTGGACAGGTACAACTGTATCTGTTGATGTGGTCCTGACACACTCCTCCATTGAAGCAAGGGTTGCCTGTCTTTGTGTTGCACTCGTCTACCTCTGTCTCACAGTTGGTGCCGGTGTAGCCTGCGAGGGAAGATGATGTACCAGTTAGGTTAAGCGTGGAGGTTAGGTTAGATGTACCGGTTAGCTTAAAGGTGACTTAGGTAAAAATTTATTAGGTTAAAAAAAGTGACCCAAAACAATGTGACTCTAACAGGATGCATGTTGGATGGTTTTCGTTTTATATCAGTGAAAAGATTTTGTTTCTTTTGTTTGTTAAAAGAGCTACTGGTGGCAAATAGCTTATTGGTGGAAAATGGAAAGTGTGAAAAGTGGGTTTTTGGTGGGGCGTGTTGTTCTGGTGAAAATGGACATTTTGGTGGGTATTAGATGGCGTTAGTGTTTGTACTGTCTGTTTGCATTGACTGTTAGCTCACATAAATTTCAAATACATCTTTGAACATAAGCAGTCCATAATAAATAGATTTATTTCTTTACAGAAACAGCAATGACGATTTTTATAGTAAAGCTTAGCCTAGATTTATAACACACAACTCACATAGTCCAAAGAAAAAACATGTAAACCACAACCAAAACATTTCAGAAATCCAAGAACTTCCTCATACAACTTGATGTTAATCCTCTACATTACAACAATTGAAGGCAAGGCTCTATAGTTCAAAGGTCACATTATATCTAAATAATTTTTTGTAAGACAAGATTCACCGATGGATGAGTTACAACTGAGGATAGTTTAGTTAAGTTTAACTTAAAATGGTAGGCTAACTTTTTTGCACGCTTAGTTGCTAATAAAACATGCGTCATCTAGAAAAAAAAAGCAACAGATTTGTTTCTTATTTGGATTTTTGACTGGTCAGTTAACAAAACATTGTCATTATCCGAACAATATATTAAGTGTTTTTTTTAAAAACAAGTGAGTCGGATTGGACCTGAGCTTGCCTTCATTAGATAGTTTTAAGTGGATGCCATCCTTATTTCCTGTTGTCATCCAGAATTTTACTGTCAGTTTAGTCCGGCCAAAATTACTACTAACATATTGATCTTATCTAATAGGATACCACTTATAATTACTATACAACTCCACAAAGTACTTGATTTTCTTATTATATTAAAATGTAACGCAAAACAGAATTGAAAACATAAATAATCTTTTGGTTAATTAAAGGTAAAGTGGGATGGTTAGATAGAGGGTTAATTATAGTATTAATTAGTATAAGAAGAAACTATTTTCTATTAGGGCCTAATAAAATAGATTTGTAAATTATGTTTGGGTGGTGGGCATAAAGATAATGTGTTGATATTTGGTTGTATGACACTGCTGTAAAGTGTTACAAAGATTATACCTATATTAATATTTATAATTTAGAAATAACATTAAAAGAAAAAGAATCAGCCTATCCCCCCCTCCCCCCACGTCTCCTGCTGTAGATATTTTATATTATCTGGCTCTGTTGGTAGCCCGCAAGTCGTGGGATCCGATGCGTGGTTTGTGGTAATCTGATCTAACTGAAACAGGATACCGCTGTCGATTAGATCACTTGGATAGACTAGTTATTGTTTGAGAGGGGGAACATGTTGGTCCGAGTGGTCCACTTATGCCCATCTCATAATTACGTCTTTCCCACGTCTGCTGTAACGTGTGTCATGCACGTAGATTAGTTAGCAGACGGCAACATTCCAAAATCATAATAACTTTTTAATGCGACAACATCACAGTTTAAAGGTAATTTTTTTAAGGGGTTGGAGTATGAATTAAAAATGCAAAGTAATCTCACTACTGTATAATTTAGATTTGTTAAGTAACGGGCAGATTTAGATTCTAGAATCCAAATACGCGAGTAGCTTTTCAAAAAATTTCCATATTTTGACGTCGTCCAAACATTCCTTTCCATAAAGAAGAAGGGCGAGGTCCTGCCTACTGAGGTGACGCGGCTCTCCGATCGCCCTAGAAAGCAAGATGACATTTTGATTACAGGGCGGAGGAAGCTGACCAGCAGTGACCCGCCTTCGCGTTGAATTGACGGTGCCCGAATGACCATCTGCCACGGTTATGACCTCGGTGAAGACTGGACGAAGCCTAACTTGTAGCGTGTGCAGTTACAGGTGATTTGTGTATTTCGATTGACTGTTTTGTTGTTGCTATCTTTTAATGGGCCATAAATGCGCATTACACCGGAAACACTTGTATACAATTTCGGCAAAGGGAAAGCACTCGATAAGCAGTAACAGGTGGCCGCCCATTATTGTTTTATTATTTTTACTAAAAAAAAATAATAATTATTATTAATAATTTATTATTAACAGCAAAAGACGAATCGTGTAACATTTTAGGTATAAATAAATACAGCTGACTACAAATGGTGTCTTGCCATTTATTCTTGCGCTTTCAACGTTGAACCCATCCCTCCCCATAATACTTGTAGGAACGAACTAAGTGCCTGGTGTCCTGAGGGCAGGTTGTAAAGCCATGACCGTTTGCGTTTAACCATGATGACAATGAGTAGCCATGACAGTTTGTGTGTAGCCACGACGACAGTTTGTGAAATTTGTATGTAGCCAATGTGCATACTTTGCATGCATTCGTCGGACTATTTACACCATACGTAAGAAAATATTAGATCTACACTGGGCCTATATATCCATGACGTATGTTTTCGATTATAAGCTCCACCATTGTGACATTTTAAAAAATCTTACAAAATAAAATCGGCCATTATACACATTTTACACAGGCTATTAAAATAAACAAGCAATGTAACTCAATATACCATTAGTTGACCCCCCCCCCTCTCGTACTATCTCCATAATGTCATCCTACTTTCCCTTCCGCCATGTTCAAAATGACGCTTCCCACACCAACCAGCCATGGGAACACACACAACCCAAACAGTTATTAAAATGAATAAACTTAACTTTAAAAAAAATCCTTTTCGTAATACGTACATTCACTCGTTACTCTGGATCTGCCCTATAATTAAATAAATATCTTCGCCCAATGGAAACCTACTGAGATGAATAAAGCTTAAATAGTTTCGTTAAACTCTATTCTCCGCTTTTTTCTTTTATCCCATTCTTTCTGTACGTGAATGCAGTGTATAAATAGAAAGAATTTCGGGATCTGCATCATTTGGGTTATTTGAGAATTCCCATGGTAAGGACTGCAGTTATTTTTTTTTAAATATGAAAGTACGGGGTTTAAATCTTAATCGGTGGTTACAAAGCAATTATAAAATAGGGGAAGCAGCTCAACACAGGGGAGATAATAAAAAAACAGCATTTTAGAGGCTCGGTATTGGAAAGAGTAGAAGCTGAAAGAATTTAAAAATGTACAGGGGAGTTGATGTAACTGTTGGAATAGCCTAAGTGTCGTTTCAAAAATTCCAGGTAAAAAAAAATATACCAATTATTTTAAACGTGTGCACTTTATTTTTAAACTAAAAATAAAAAAGCACAACACATCGCAGCATGCCGTGTGTACCTGATGTGTGCATCGAATAAAAGGAGGGGAGGGGGGGGGGGGGGTTGAGACGTGGGGTGCCGCGTTGTGCACTTGACAGAGGACACGGCAGGTGGGCCGTCTGGGAGTACTGGTCATGATGTTGATTGCGCATGCCCAGCCATCTTTGTGACTTTTTTTTTTACTCACACTCTAAATTAAAATTTCAACAATTTGGTTGGCTCGGAATGTATGCATAACGCCTAATCCACCCTCCCCCACAACATATTATCCACCCCCTACAAAATCCAATCGAACTCTCGCCCTCCCCCCCTCACTCTACAAATAAAGATGAATAAAGATGAAAAATCAATGTAAAAATCACTACTTCTCATTTGGTATATTTAGTCAAAACTAGTGCATATATCTTTGTTTGCATACAAATTTATTTACACACATATTTCAATGTTAAAAAAATGTAATAAGCAAAAAAAAAATGTTATAGTTTTAGGGCCAATGTTATTTGAATAGTTTTCAAAAACTAACCATTCCATGTAGACAGATAAAAAACTTTCGAAGACGAATTTCAAAGTATGAGCAACTCATTGCACATCGATAAAAATTCATCTACCTTTAAAGCAGCAATTTAAAAAAAAAAAAACCATTTCAAGTAACTTTACCTAAGCTTGGCACCAAAACCGTAATAATAATACTAAAAAAAAGAGAGCTCTATGGCCAGGGGAAGTAACCGGTCCCAGGTCAGACAAATACCTATACAAGCAGGTGACTCATAGCCAGATGCGCGCGTAGTCAGTTCATGGATACTAACCGTCCAGGCGTTCTCGGGCTTTGCGCACCTCGCATGTTCTGAACGGTGCAGTACGGTGTAACATTAGTGCGCAAGAGCCTTTTATGTAAACAATCGACTTCACCCAACATATTCGTGTAATCATGGTATTTTTTTTTCATGATGTATAAATATTTAAAAAATATGTTTTTAAAAATAACGATATATTTTCTCCCCCCCCCCCCCCACAACACTTTAAAAATGTAAATAATTTTAAACTTTCCCCAACTTTACATCTATGTTGTCACCCTTTCCTTCCTCGATACGAATTCAATACAAAATTCTGTTCCGCTTCGATGGGTTTTAATGGGGGATTTAACAACTACAGCCAGAAAAAAAAAACGAAACACGAAGTAAACTTAAGAATGTTATTATGTCTGTGTAGACGGCAACCTGGGTAGAATTTGAAAGCTAGGCATAAACTCGCTTTAATATCTGTTAAGATATAGCGACAGAAACTTTAAAACTTTAATCACTTAAAACGAAAAAAAAAATAAACAGCGTGTTATTACATAACACACAACAATGATAAAGAGGTCATAAGTTAGCGAGGGTTTAAAAAAAAAGGTGAGTCGGGAGGACTCACCTCCTTTCTCTCCCCCCCTCCCCCCCACCATACCCCCTCCCACTTGATGTATCTCCGCCCTTACACACGAGCGCCAGAGGGCGTCAGGCGACTGTGGGAAACTGGGAACTTTTTACAGAGCCTAGTGGAGCATGGGTCTACTCTCTAAACAGGTGCTAGCCCGAGCAGTGATTATTAAAAGAGAGTTATGCCATACCCCTCCCTCCCTCCCTCCTCACTCTAACGCTCGTGTTTTTTTTCTCCTCCTCCCATTACGTGTGTATTCTTGTATCTTGTTTACTGTTGGAGGTGGTTTAGTCTTGTTGTACAGATACCGTGTACAGATCCCAAGGCATGTTATGTACACATCTCAGGTTACATGTACACACATCTTGACGTTCATGTACACATCTCAGACTGCCTGTACACGGCTACACGACAGACGTGTACACATCCATGTACACATCTCAGTTTAGTTAGAGACTTCTTTGATATCGAATGGCACTACACTCATGTACACAATTCCAGAGCACCTATTAGTGTACACACACCGAGCGTACACCAACTGACCACCACACACCTACAACATACCCACAGATCACCTACATACCACTCTAACCAACATATACAACGCTGACCACTACATGAACACCAACCCCCACACACCACACCATACCAACTGACCCCCCCTTCCACACACACCATACTGACCACTACATACCCACCATACTTTAACAACCACACACAACTCTACACACCACAGTCGCCACCACACAGAGCGCCCCATAACAACAGACCACACTAACAACCAAAACACCACAATGACCACCACACACTTCACTGACCACCACACCGACCACCACACCCCACAATGACCACCACACTTCACTGACCACCACACTGACCACCACCATCACCCACATCATGCACCTATCTCCAACACCCTCGGATGAGTCAGCCACTAAACCGTGTAAATCTACCCATATGATCTCACGTACCACATTACCCCTTCACTCAACCGCATCCAGTCAGTCTATAAACATTTAAAACGCAATACCCCCCCCCCCCAAACTCCATCCCCTTTAAATATCAGACTGCACACATAGGTAATGTGCACACATAAAAATCATTCAACCGTAACAGTGTCAACATTTATCAGCTTCTTAATGTCACATATTTGGGCGAAATAGCTCCTGGGTAAGTACTCTCAGTAATTTCAGTACCACTGTAGTAAGTACTATACTACCGCACAAGTTAGGCTTATGTTACAAGCTACATAGTGTGGACATAACACTACAGGGAACAATTCCGTTTATATATTGTATCAGTCGATCAGCCATCAAGAGCAATTACTAAGCTAACCTGGTTATAGAATATCTTTTTCTATAATAGATAAAGGACAGGATTTTCCCACAGAAAATGTTACGAACAAACCACTATTTAATGCACTTTGTAGCATTTCAGTGCAGGATCACTCCCCCCCTCCTATACACACATATCTACCTGTTTATAGATATTACTTTATTTGAATTTTATACATATATATATTTTTAAAATAAAGATCTATTCACGTATGGGTGGGGTAGGTGTAGAATAGAAGAAAAGGGTGTGAAATAAGGGAGGAGGTGTGAAGTTGGTGATCGTGATGGGGAGTATAGAAGTGAAGGGGGGGGGTGCTGTGGAGTGTAGGAAATGGAAGAGGGGAGTTGGGAGTGGGAGGTATGGAGTAAAGGTGATGTATCGGAGGTGGGGTACGGGTGGAGCTGCCGTGATATGTCAGACTTACCTGTACGGTAGTTTTTTTCCACCCACAACTCACCTACCGGTACCTGAGAGTACCTATCTCAACCGTACCGTCATGTATGATCATTTATTCAGACGAGCACTGGACGTTTGGAGGGTTAAAAAAAAAAAAAACCCGCCTATCGTTTTTTTTTATGCCCCACTCGTGAGGTTGTTTTTTTTTTTTTTTAAATGTAAGATTTACTCTTTGTTGCAGATGGTGGGAACGGAAAGATTGCGGGCCTTTGTAACAGGGGAGGTAATGATAGAATAGGGAGAGGAAAAATTGGATGAAAACAGGGGAGGTAATAATGGAGAGGTAGAGGAGAGGGATTTAATGAGTATAAATGTTAAAAGGTCGTCAACGAAGTCTATAGAAAACTGCTCGTTTTGAAGCCCCCCCCCCCCCCCCTAAAAACACCCCCCCCCTCCCCATTCTCTTAGATCGATGAAGCATCCTGAGGCCAGGCACTCACGTGGAACTCTCAGGCACGCTTGACAGCATGACCTCCCTAACGAGGCCACCTCTCGGATCATTTAACCCCTTGAGTTCTAGAAAGACCTAGACGTTTAGACACAAGCTCATACGTTCTCAAACCAATCACATGTTGAGTGTGGTGAGTTGGGGGTTAAATTTGTGAGATTATCCAGAAAGAGAAAAACAACATTTCAACGAAGGGGGGAGGGGATGGTAACAGGGATGGGGGAGGGGGCAAGTGATCCTGGTAGAGTTACAACTTTGGTTGGGGTACAACAAATTAACTAACTCCAAAGAGGGACGTGTGTGAGAGATTTTAACCCGAAAGAGTTAAACTCAAGGACACATGTAAAAGATAACACGGCCCGACTCACACACGCTGTCAGGTCAGATAGACGCAGTTAGGGGAGTCAGACCAGGGTAGAGGGGGTGCCAGTGGGAGTGTCAGACAAGAGTGGGGTGCTAGGCTGGGGGGGGGGGGGGTAGGGTAGCCTGGCCAGGGGTGGGAGATAAAGGTGGGGGTGCTAGGCTGGGGGTTGCCTGGCCCCAGGGAAAGGGGTAGACTGGCCAGGGGAGGTATCATGCACAAGCGTGGGGCGCTATGTCAGGGGAGTGGGTGAGGCGCTAGGCTAAAGAGCCAGGACGTAGGGAGGGGGGGGGGGGTAGGGGCTAGTGTGGGCCCGGGACTCCCGTACATGATATCCTCAATGATTCTGCTTGCTGACAGGGACAGCCGACGCAATTAAAACCAGTGGGTTTTTTTTCCCTCTTCGCGATTTTAATGCAACATTAAGGATGGGATCCGTGCAAGGAGACGACAACTTAAGTGACTGGGTTACTCTCCTTGCTTGGGAAAACCCCATTAGCCGGCAATTAAAGAAGAATTTCGCTGTGTAGATGGTAATTAAGAGCTGTACATTTGTTTTGTGTTTATATTAGGACAACAGCAAAGATAAAGCAATTTTTAAAATGTAATCCGACGCTAAGGCTACTTTTGCTCATCTGTATGGTAATTAGGAGCTGTACATTTGTTTTGTGTTTATATTAGGACAACAACAAAGATAAAGCAATTTTAAAATGTAATCTGACGCTAGGGCTACATTTGCTCATCACATTTTGTAGTTTAAATATGTTTGAATAAATATGTATGTTACTAGAATTAGTTCAAATAACGAGGGAACCAAATCTTACTAAATAACGAGTTAAAAACACAAGGAAAAATTTAGCCGGGTCATTGTAAAATCCATTTAAGAACACATTTAAAAAGGTATATGCTGAAGAAGTTATTCCTTTCAAATAAAATCAGGCAATAACCACATTTTAACACCTTTTTTCTAACAATTATTCATTTTGACCACACTTTACAACTGTTACCTGGCCTATATGCATTTAAACATTTCAACACTAAACTGTCAACTGCTTTTACAACACATCTCAACTCTTACCTGGCATACAGAGACAGCTGTATTTCCCAGTTTCATCCAAACAGGTCCCGTCGTTCTGGCACGGGTTGCTGTTACACTCGTTGATGTTCCTCTCGCAGAAGCTTCCTGTAAATCCCATGGGGCATTGGCAGTGAAAGGATCCGTTCGTGTTGATGCAGGTCCCTCCATGCTCACACGGGCTGTCCTCGGCTGTGGGGTCAGGCACATATTGTTACAGTAATGATATGGTGGTATATACGTGTATACATCATATGTGGTGTGTGCTCAATCATATGTGTTGTGTGCGCAATCATACATGTATGCTAAATACCTAAATACCTATCAGTGTATGAAAGAATCAGTTGAGTGTGCTAGATTTTTGTATTAGTCCGCTGTGTGGATGAATTAGTCCATGTAAAGACTAAACTCGTAATTTCAATTGAGTGTGCTTGATGGATGTATTAGTCCACATATGGATGTATTAGTCCACATGTGCATGTATTAGTCCACACGTGGATGGATTAGCGCACATGTGGATGAATTAGTCCAGGTCAAAACTAAACTCGTAAATTACATAATCTCCAGAATGTCCACTTATTTTCCTCTTATTTTCATTGAAGGAATTAATGGAGATGATTCCTTGTAACTGGTAATGTGAACAGTGAATGGGACCATGTACACAATGCCCTAGTGTACCTTGTAATACATAAAACGTGCCACAATGAGTACTCACTCTCCTTGCATTCATCCACGTCAAGCGAGCAGTCCAGCCCCCTCCAGCCCTTCTTGCAGTCACAGATCGGCTCCCCGTCGATGGGCGAGGTCTCACAGTTGGCGCCCGAGTGGCAGGGGTTGCTCTGACAGGCGTCCTCCAGGTGACATCGAAGCCCTTTGGAGGAGTAACGGTCGGGGAATTAGCTTTAGATGCATTGGAAGACTTACAAGGTTGTATAGGGTTACTAGCTGACCGAGCTATGGCTAAGGTGACATCGTAGCCCTAGTGGGTAGAGTAACGGTCGGGAAATTAGCTTTAGATTCATGAGAAGCCTTACAAGGTTGTATAGGGTTACTAGCTGACCGAGCTATATCGTAGCCCTATCGGGGAGTAATGGTCGGGGAATTTAGATTCATGAGAAGACTTACAAAATATATAGGATTATATATAGGATTACTAGCTGTAAGTACCCTTCGTCGCCCGGGATATTGCTATGTTGATATCGTAGCCCTTGCAGGTAGTAACGTTCAATAAATTAGCTTTAGATTCATTAGAAGACTTACAAGGTTGTATAGGGTTACTAGCTGACCGAGCTACATCTTAGCTCTATAGGAGATTAACGGTCGGGCAATTAGCTTTAGATTCATGAGAAGACTTACAAAATATATAGGATTACTAGCGGAAGTACCCATTGCTGACCGAGCTATGGCTAAGGTGATATCGCGGCTCTTGAAAAGCTTAACTTTCGGGAAATTAGCTTTAGATACACAAGAAGACTTACAAGGCTATATAGGGTTACTAGATGAAGTACCCACTGCTGCCCGGAGTATTTTTTTTAAAGTTAAAAACAGAGTGGCAGCTTATATATGCTACATCAAGATGGCTTCGTATCCCTTCAGGAAAATAACGTTTAAGGAAGTAGATCGAGTTTCAGGTGTATTGGAAGACTTAGAAATAGATAAAGGGTTAGAATATCTAGTACTAGGTTTTAACAGATTTAGCTTAGGAACCTAAAAACAGAATAGCTGTTAAGGAATATTAAAGTGGACAATTTAATTGTTTAGAATTAAATTTATAAGATTACGTATTGGATATATTTTTAGGTTACTTTCTACAATACCCAGCATTGTCCAGGCTGTGACAATTTCAAAAATTAAAAACTGCGTTTTTTTTTTTTTTTTTTTTTTTTGGTATTTTCTGCTAAAAAATAAAATGCGAGGTACCCTTATGCTAAAGGATAATCTTTTCAGTAAATTTCATATTGGGGTTGATGGAAGAGTTGTCAGACCTAGCGAGATAACCCCAGATTTGAACTGAGTATTTGCCCTTACCGGTCTTGCCCAGCGGACATTCACACTCGAAGTATCCGACCCTGTCGTGGCAGGTGCCGCCATTGTAGCAGGGGTTGTTGTAGCAATCGTCCTCGTTGTGCCCGCAGTGCACCCCCGCCCAGCCGTTGACGCACACGCACATGTAGGTGCCCGGGCTGTTCATGCAGGTGCCGCCGTTCAGGCACATGCGCGGGTTGAGTGCGCACTCGTCGATGTCCTCGTCACAGTAGCGCCCTGAGGGGAATCCAGATTTTAAAGGGTTAAAGTAAAAAAAAAGTTATAATATCCAGGTTTTAAAGGGTTAAAATTAAAAAAATAAATAAATAATAATATCAAGGTAAAGAAAAGTCATTGCTGACAAAGTAGAAGTGATCTAACTTGTTATAGAGTAATCAACATTTAATGCCTTTTACGAGCTAGAATACCGTGTATTTTGCAATGTTGATGGGAGTTCAAACTGATTAAAAACTCGAAACGTATAATAAACGGAGTCACTTTATAACAAACGTTACTTCAATGTTATTTACATTACATATACACTCTTAATACATATATATATATATATATACATATTTTAAGTTCATTTTTTACACCCTAATTCGAAAATAGCTGTTCTATAAATAACATTATTCTTTACCCTTCTCTTTTTATTCCCCCCCCCCCCCCCCCCATTGCAACGTGAATAACCACATTAAATATAATATTCATGTTTTCTTTTTTAAACCAAAAGTAAATAAACTTGACTATTCTCCTGGCATAATTAGCCTGGCCGCCTCGCAAGGCTCCTATATCGAACACAAATCTCCGTACCTGTGTACGAACTGGGGCAGACACATTCATAGCCGTTGATTTTGTCGACACACGTTGATCCATTGTTGCAGCGGTTATGCTGGCAGTCGTCAATGTTCACTTCACAGTTACGGCCCCTGAATCCTGTTTGAACGATAAAAAAAAATTGTTATAGTTTTAGTTACACTTTTTTTTTTAAATTCACAAAGGTAACGATTAAAACAATGTTATAGAATTTTTGTTTTTAATTGACACGGTTGCTCGTTGATGAGTTGGTTTAATTGGGTGAATGTTATTTTTAATTTAATATCAGGGATAAAGAGAACAAACAAACAAAATAATTTGAGTTGTTTTTGTGTTATACACGACTTGTATTTAACTTGTGTTTTACACGACTTGTATTTGACTTGTGTTATACACGACTTGTATTTAACTTGTGTTTTACACGACTTGTATTTGACTTGTGTTATACACGACTTGTATTTGACTTGTGTTAAACACGACTTGTATTTGACTTGCGTTATACATGACTTGTATTTGACTTGTGTTGTACACGACTTGTATTTAACTTGTGTTTTACATGACTTGTATTTGACTTGTGTTAAACACGACTTGTATTTACTTGTGTTTTACATGACTTGTATTTGTCTTGTGTTTTACATGACTTGTATTTGACTTGTGTTTTACATGACTTGTATTTGACTTGTGTTAAACACGACTTGTATTTGACTTGTGTTATACACGACTTGTATTTGACTTGTGTTATACACGACTTGTATTTGACTTGTGTTATACACGACTTGTATTTGACTTGTGTTAAACACGACTTGTATTTGCCTTGTGTTATACACGACTTGTATTTGACTTGTGTTAAACACGACTTGTATTTGCCTTGAATGAAATGTGTTGTGTAAAGCGGTCGCCTGGGGACTGTACATTAAGTTGTTTTGGTGATCAGGGGGGGGGGGGGTCCTTAGTTCTGCCCGGAATAGAGCAGGATTGAAATAAAACAAGAGCGGGAATGCACTAAATAGGGATAGGACTGACCTATATACAATCAGGACTGTTCTAAATAAGAGCAGGCTAGTGTCAAATAAGAGCAGGCCAGTGTCATATAAGAGCAGGCCAGTGTCAGATAAGAGCAGGCCAGTGTCAAATAAGAGCAGACCAGTGTCAAATAAGAGCAGGCCAGTGTCAAATAAGAGCAGGGTAGTCTCAAATATAAGCAGACCAGTGTCAAATAAGAGCAGACCAGTGTCAAATAAGAACAGTATCAGCCGTGGAAAGTTTTATCAAATATTATTCAGCCAGTAGTTATTACATATTTTAAACTAATTGTAGCGATGTGTTAATTAACCACCCTCGTAATTAGGTGCTAATCATTAGTGCAACTGTAAAAAAAAAATTAGTATACAGACCCATGTGATACCACAGAAAGTGGGTATACAGGGGGGGGGGGAGGATGTTAGTAGAGTTTTGAAAAGCATGTTTAATATAGCCTATACATAACAAAGAACAGCCTTTGTTGAAAACGTACAACGGATCTTGCAATACAGGATAACTCAAGAAGTCGGTGGCGTGTGTGGGGAGGGGGATAGAGTGACAATACAGGCATACTATAACACTTGAATTATGATATTTTAAAAATATGCTTTCATATAATAACGGACCTTAGAACACTGGAGGTACGGTAAGGGTGGTGGTGGGGGGAGGAGGGGTGAAGCTCGGTGGATAATAGAGGAAAAATATTGTTTAAGTTATGTTAAATTCTTTGGGCCAATTATTCAATGGAAAAATAAAAAGACCACGTGACCTCTTCAGAGTTCATCGAGTTCTGGTAGATTGTGATATCGTATGGAGGGTGTAAGGAAGGGGGGGGGGGGAGGGGGGTATCAATGGAGGGTGTAAGGTAGGGGGTGTGTGTGAATGGAGGGAAGGGGATGGGGGTTATCAAGGGAGGGGGGTATCAATATAGGGTTTTTTAAAAAGTTAGAGAGGTTTTTGCTGACGTATGTTTCTTTGTTTCTTTACGTTGACCTCCTTACAATGTACACATTTTTTTACAAGCTTTTATTTAACTCACTTCCTCTGTCGACAGTCGTCAGTCGTCAGTCTAGACGGAAACGCAGGAGTGAAAATTCGGACAGTTCTACTTGACCGATACGATTCACACTTGGCACGTGGGTCAAGACATGAAGACAATGCAATCTGAAACTAAATTTGACTTAATTGGATGCCTAATTAATTTTTTATGAATTAATTAAAATTTGGACCGAATTAGTAGGCATGTCTAGCCAACCACACCACACGCGTCATCACCTTCAATAGCTGCGCCATCACGTAATGGCTGCGTTCAAAAACCATTGTGCGCCTACTGAACGTGATGTTCAGTAGGCGCGCAATGGTTTTTAGTCATGTAACTCTATTGTAAATAAAACATGTAAAGTACTGAAAAAAAAATTCATAAAAAACGTTTTAATAACAAGCTTTTATGTAATGATGCACTAAAAAGTAGAAAATAAATTATAGACTACTATTTAAATAACTATAAAGAAAAGCGTGGGTGTCTTCCTTAACATTAGTAAAGGTATCCAATAGATACTAAAGTGACCCACGCTTTTCTTTATAGTTATTTAAATAGTAGTCTATAATTTATTTTCTACTTTTTAGTGCATCATTACATAAAAGCTTGTTATTAAAACGTTTTTTATGAATTTTTTTTTAAAGAATATATTCCAAGAGATGGTGAGAGCGAGATTAATTTTTTTTTACTTTAACGTTGAAAATAACCAATAATTGCAATAATTTTGAACAAAATAAATTAGAAATAAAAATTTTGAATAAAAAAAGGTAAACAATAATAATAATAATAATAATAATAATAATAATAATAATAATAATAATAATAATAATAATAATACAATTTAAAAAATAAATTAGTGACTTAAAATCAGTAATGTGTCATTAATCAAAGGGACGTCATTACAGTAAAACTTTAGCAACTCTGATCACGTATTGTTAAAAACCATTTGTACTAGAGTCGAGCCAGGCGTCTCATTTCATACCAGCGTTAATACAAACATGACCTTCAAGTCAAGCAACGGTTCCTGGGTCCTGGTTTTTAATCTAAGCACCACTTCCGGTCACCGCAAGTTTTTTTTTTAAAAGCATGTTTACCTCCCCTTCACGAACCAGCGGCTAGGGGAGGGAACTCGAGGCGATATTGTTAAGTCATATGAGGATATTCTCATCCTGCTAAGTAAACAAAAAAACCTCTCGGTTGGGAATTTGGGAGGAAGGAAACACCCCTCCTCTCCTCACTCTGGGAGGGACATGGAAGAGGGTGGGGGGGGGGGGGGGGATGGGGGTAGAAAATGTGACCTGCCGGTGTGCAAACATGGCCAAAACCAACAACAAGGTCTCTGTGTGGACATTCTTGTGACAAGAACTTTCATATCGGATCACGTGACTGGTAGAAACTGTGACAGGCTATTTTTAGACCGGGTTATTTTTTTTTTTTTACACGAGCATAATGATGTAAAAACCATAGTGATGCTTTCGTGGTAATTACTAGGCTGAGATGTAGATAAAACAGTGGTTTAAAGTAGTGAATTAATCAACGCCGATAAAATTCAAGAACCTTACTGCACCATAGACTAATAATACTAATATCATAGTTTGTAACCCAACCAATGAAAGCTATTGTTGTGTATGTTGTGTACTTGAGATGTATAGATATTAAACATAACAGGAGAGACGATTGGTCAAAGTGAGAAGGCTAGACTGAGAAGGTCGTGCTTTGATCAGGTCCATTTACACTGAGCAGGTTATGTAATGAGTAGGTCACACACAATGAACAGGTCACACACACTCAGTGAGTAGGTCATTTACAATGTGTGGGCCACACACTCAGTAAGAAGGTCATATACAATGAGTAGGTCCCACACGGTGAGCAGGTCACACACATGAGTGAGCAGGTTATATACAATGTATGGGCCACACACTGAGCAGGTCATACAGTGAGCAGTTACAATGTATGGGCCACACACTGAGCAGGTCATACAGTGAGCAGTTACAATGTGTGGGTCACACACTGAGCAGGTCATACACAATGTGTGGGCCACACACTGAGCAGGTCACACACAATGTGTGGGCCACACACTGAGCAGGTCATACACAATGTGTGGGCCACACACTGAGCAGGTCACACACAATGTGTGGGCCACACACTGAGCAGGTTATATACAATGTATGGGCCACACACTGAGCAGGTCATACAGTGAGCAGTTACAATGTATGGGCCACACACTGAGCAGGTCATACAGTGAGCAGTTACAATGTGTGGGTCACACACTGAGCAGGTCATACACAATGTGTGGGCCACACACTGAGCAGGTCACACACAATGTGTGGGCCACACACTGAGCAGGTCACACACAATGTGTGGGCCACACACTGAGCAGGTCACACACAATGTGTGGGCCCACACACCCAGTAGGTCATGTCACACAGCCAGAGGTCGGTGTCACTCTGCTTTTAATCGAAACGACAACTCTTGTGGGAAAACAAACGCGCGGCCATTGACAAGGGACATAATTAGACGACGGGTGGATTTGTTTGGAGTTGTCTCCCTTTTGTTCCCCACCAATCACTAGATTAAACTAATCTTTATCACATCTTGTTAGCCTGGTATTTCGGGTTAGTCCACAAAGCTGCGCGGCTTATTTCATCAAATGGTACGGTGCCGTCTCTGATTATATTTTGGCGATTTTTTTTCGGGTGTGTAAACATTTGTTTAACACCGTGGCTTCATTACCACTGGTAGCGACGTGTGAGGAGAGGGTTAACTAAATCCCACGGAAACATGTAATTCACAAACACCATCTAAAATATAATAGCCAAGTGATTATTTAGTTTGATATGTATTACAGAGTCATTACATATATATATATATATATATATATATATATATATATATATATATATATATATATATATATATATATATATATATATATATATATATATATATATATATATATATATATATATATATATATATATATATAAGGCACACATCGCGAATTAAGCCAAATTAAAGCTATTGACGTCAGTTTTTGCTGACCTGATCAGCTAGATAAAGA